GGTGAATTGAACTCATCCTTCTCTTGTGGGTTGGGCCACTCACTTAGATATGTAATGATATGAACCCTACAATCATCACTGAAAAAATGACCACATCACTATGTTGGTTTATCTATGTCGATTATAAATTATGACAAATAACTTACAGTGAACAAAAGACTCACGTATTGTCTTGAACATGAACAATGGGATACAAGATGACATTATTTGAATATGGGTTGGCCAAAGCCTCCAGCTCAGGCTTCACTCTCTTAGTATTTCAATGAAGTGTGCCCTCTACACAATTACCAATGATTATCACACAGGGGATACTATGGTTGTCCACAAAAGTAGCAGAATAATTACAGCACTTACACAAGTTTGTGCCATCATTTGCTGCCCCTTTAATGCTAGGTCAGAATTTTTCTTCTTCTTTTGGCACTTCATTGTATCCTTACCGCCATGTAGAGAGTTCAGCACATAAAAGTGTGCTTGGTTCAAACACAAAGTAAAACCAATACAGTGCAAACAAAACAGGTGCAAATATGTATTCACATTCAGCCAAATTGTATCCCAGGTGTTAGGGGAGTAGTTCTTTCAGATGTTTGTCCACTTGCCATGCTGTGTTCCTGCACCATCCTTGCCTATCACAACAGCAAATTGCACAGTAATGCAAATTGTCAGTGAAGAAACTGTACCGATAACTTGATTGAACAATTTAAAGCATTGACCTATTAACAGTGGATAGCACTAACTGTGAAATCTGCATCAAATATGTGTCTTTTAACCACAGAGGCATTCTCCTGTTGGTCAGTGTTCAAGGTGTAGGCAATCAGAGACATGATCTGCATATTAAAGGAGCAGGAAAATTAAAAATGTGGCACATTCCAGATATGGCCACTTTGATATAAATTGAACAGGTGCACGTACCTGTTGCTTATCCACCTTCTAGGACCCAGTGCTTGCAGGTCTGCTCGTGTTGCCAAATGCCCAAACATATCTACCATGACCCTACAACAAATATGAAAGTGAAAATAAGTGGTTAGTATTGCATACTAGTATTATTCATAGGCTGTCTTTTCCATAATAATTGACTATACTTGCTCTTGAGCCTCATCTGGTTGACACCACTCAGTACACATAGCATAAAATGCATCCTTGTTACTCATTTTCACCTTTCTGCCATAAGTAGACATGTAAGGAGATTTCATTGTTGGGAGTTTACGTCTACTTGACCTCCTTGTGGGTAGCTGCACTGCTTTGCCCACCATTTTCCCTTCTTTGTTTCCTTCTTTACTTTCAGCTGCTTGTTCACCTTCAGTATCTTTTTTTGCAGCTTCATTTTCTCTCACATTGTCATTCTCTTCTTCATCTTCCTCTTCTTCTTCTTGCTATTCATCATCATGCGATTTCTCACCACTTTGATGTTTTTCTCCCGCTCTCTACAGTCATAACTTCATCATGTTGTGACTGCTCATTTTCATCCTCGTCAGTGTGGTGTTCTTTTCCTTCTTCTTCATTGCCTCCTCGGTTAAGAATTTTGTTTTCCAACTTAACCAATTCATCACAAACAAAGTTTTGAATCTTGGTCATTTTATTTTTCAATGTGTTGTTGAAATTGACCCAAAACTCCTTAATGTCCTGCACATTGTAAATGTATGTCATCAAACAAATATTAAGTCTGACCAACAGACATTACCACATTGGTATTACTCACCAGATGATGGAAACTTTTACTACTCCCGGTTGTGTTGACTCATTCACTTCAGCAGAGGGTGGATTGTAGAAAATGCCATGTCGACTCTCCTTTTCCGTGTCAATTCTGCTCTTCACAGCCTTATCATCCCAATGTCTGATGGCATTTTTGTCTTTTGGTTCACCTCCTTGCAAAGGGAACCTTTGCAGGAAGTACAGCTACAGAGAAAGAAAAAACATGACTCAAAAATCAAATTACATAATATATCAACAGTTTAATGGTCAAACCATATCCAATAGGACATATTTTGTAAGGAAATATGCAAGTACCAATAAAAAGTAGATGCACCCCTCCGACAACTCTGGCATCCCTCGGTCTGTCCTTCCTTATTGCTCTTATTGTGTCGTTTAACTTCTTCACTTAGTTCGTCAAGCACAAAGGAAGCCCAGTCAAAATTTTGCCAGTTATTTTCTATGCAGGCCATTACTTTTAGTACCTTCTCACTTACAATTGCACTTCCCGTGGGACAAAGAAGAATTCCCACTGTGAAAAGAATAAACTAGAATTCAAAGTTTCCATCTTCTTCATCACTCATTATCTTCTCCGCAAATTAAGAATATGTCAGTAGAGTATAGTCCTTCTTCAGCTCATTTATTTCATCCTTGAAGCCATCCAACAATTACACCGAAGGTAAGTGGAAATGCAGCTAATTGCTCGTGTCAATTGCCTAATTTTCCCTCTGAGGCCACTACAGATCAAATTCGAACAAACATGAAATTATGCAATAGAGGTGGTTAATTAACTAATTTTTGAGGTAAATTTCCTAACTTTCAGAGTCCAACACGCATCAAACAGTTACACATAAGCTTAGTGCAAATTCAGCTCACTGGTCGTGTCAATTGCCTAATTTTCTCTGTGAGGCAACTGCACACCAAATTCCCACAAACTTAGTGGGTAATTTACTAATTCTCCATGTAAATTGCCTGACTTGACAGATTCTACAAAATATGAAACCGTTAGATAGAAGCTAAGCAGATAATCTCCTAAATCCTCGTGTCAATTGACTAATTTCTCCTGTAAAGCCACTACAGATCATATGCCAACAAACATGAAATTTTAAATTGCAACTTGTTACTTTACTGATTGTTCATGTAAATTTCCTAACTTCTAGAGTCCAACACACATCAAGCAGTTACACAGAAGCTAAGTGGAAATTTAGCTAATTGCTCATATCAATTGTCTAATTTTCCCTATGAGGCCACCGCAAACCAGATTCCCACAAACATAGTGGGTAATTTACTGATTCTCCATGTAAATTGCCTAACTTGACAGATTCCCAGAAACATGAAACTGTTAGACAGAAGCTAACTGGATAATCCCCTAATTCCTCGTGTCAATTGCCTAATTTTCCTTGTGAGGCCACTACAGATCAGATTCCAACAAACATAGCTGGTAATTTACTGATTCTTCATGTAAATTGTCTAAGTTGACAGATACATGCAAACATGAGGTTGTCACATGCAACTGGGTAGTCAACTAATTCTTCACGTCAATTGACTAACTCCCATTATTAGCCTATAAAATCTCATATTCCAACAATCAATGGGATAAACCAAACAAAACAAACTCATTTACCTAATCCATACGACAACATTTGCCCCTCTCAAATCTTTTCTTAATTCCTACAAAATGCCTACAAACACTATAGCAATACAGTTAACTACCAACACTAATTTTTCCCTAAATAATTAATAACTTTCTTACTTAGCCCCCACACAAACTCTTCATGCTACACTCACAAGCTTTCTCTCACTAAATCAGGAGCATTTGCTAAAGGGCAGTAGGGGTGACGACCAAACACTATGTGACACATTGGTAATCATTCCTGGGTTAGAACCTAAATGTCATTACCAAACACACCCACCTTTCAATGGGTCATTCCTCCTTAACGTACTATGAAAACAAAATCGAAGAAATCTACTGCATTTAATGTGGACCGCGAAGCTTACCAAAGGAAATCAGTGACTTCTTCTCGCCCTGCTTCTTCCTTCTTTGTCAATAGCCTTGCAAGTTTCCTTCTTTGTCGGCCTCTTCTTATTCTCCTTTCGCTTGTAGTGACTACCACGAACATGCAAAATAAAGCTGATGGAATTTTTGGGGGCCAGGTCGAACACTTTTCACAAATTGCGAGAGGCAAGAATCTTCCCACAAAGGTAGCACGTTTGTAGCCAGGAGAGGGCAGATTTTTCACAGAGTGGTAGCACGTTCTCAGATCGGGAGACGCTACAGTTCTCCCAGAGTAGTTGTACATTCGCAGAGCGGGAGAGGGAAGAGTTTTCGCACAGTGGGACCACGTTCGCATAGAGAGAGAGCGGGAGGACTTTTGACCATTGTGTTTTCGCCTTATTTTCAAATTTCAGAGGAAGTAAAATAAGGGGCAATGGCGTCATTTTTTGTGTGGAATTAATATCAGATTGGCCCCTTGGTCCTGCAGTGAGGTTTCAGAAAGTTTTGGGGGCTCTTTGACATTAATTGTGTTCTACGGTCCTTAAGTGAAAATTTCCCTTTTTTCTTTGCCTCGTGTCCTTCTATCTAGGGCCAATAATATGAGCCAACTCGCCGATTATGGGTTGGCCCGTGGCGGGCCTGAAGCTTGGCGGGCTAGGACTTTTAGGACCGCTTTCTGGCGGGCTGGAATTTTTCCAACCCAACCCGCCAACTTTTGTAATTCCTTTTACTTTTTTTTTAATAAAATCTACTCAAAGTCTCAAATTCTTAAATACCTAAAATAAAAATACAAATAGAATTATCATAAATAAAACATGAAATCCATCCAAGGTTTCAAGTTTCAACTTTCAAATATATCAAAATATTAAACATATGATTACATGAACATGATATGTCCTTAATAATTTAACAAACATCTTAAATTAAAACATAAATCCAAATTAACACCACCACAAAGTCACAAACAGAATGTCACTACACAAATCACTATCAACTATCAAGTGCTCGACCATCAATATTGATAGTGTTGGAGTTAGAGGCATGATTTGAAGACATGAAATTATTTGGTTGAGCTTGAGAACCACCATCTTTTTACTCAGTTGGCTCTACCACAAATAAAATTCAAAAGACAAAGTGAAAAATACATTACATTATGATAATTATAAATAATGAAAATAAGATAAAGAAACAAAGAAATAAACATAATTATATTACCTTCATCAGAATCATCACATGGAAAACCAAGCATCCAATTACGGGTACAAATAATGGCTTGCACATTTTGTGGAAGAAGACAACTTCTATACTTTGTGAGAACTCATGAACCAATACTGAAAGCTGATTCACTAGCCACTGTGGTGATTAGAATGCTCAAAATATCACATGCCATCTTTGATAGATAGGGAAAGCAAGCTGCATTAGTCCTTAAATAATCCAAAACATCCATCTTCAGAAACAGATTTGGATCCATTGTTGCTTCTTCTAAATAAAAGTCAAGTTTAGAATTTTCCATTGATGCAATGTCCTTGCTCTTGCATTTGAGATAATCCTACAAAATAAAAAGTGTCAATAAAAAATCTAAAATAATATTATGACAAATAAAAATGAAAGAATATCAAACTTACCCCAAAAGCCATAGTGTTTAAACAGCCATGGCTTATAATACCACCTTTAGATGGATAAGAAGGAGGTTGATTTGATGTTCTTGGCAACATAATGTTCATGTCACTAGCATTAGAAGAACCTGAATCATTATTTGGAGCAACAATAGGACTAGGAGTTGACGATGATGATCCAACCACATCCATGATTTTATATTCATTGAAAACTAAGTACATCTTCTTCCTAATATGTTCAATCTTCTCAGTATGATTCACAGGATCAAGTTGTGCATAAGAAAACCTTATTATATCAAACTTCATCCGTGGATCAAGAATGATTGCAATTGCAAGAATGACACTATAATCACTCCAATATTTGTCAAACTTTTCAAGCATACTTGCAACCATATTTTGGATCACAACATCATCATGATCTAGAAATTCTTTCAGTAGTAACTTAATTTTTGATATCTGCACAAAATACAAGTTTGAAGTTGGATATGATGTGCCAGAAATCAACTCCGTTATCCTTGCAAATGGAGCGAAGAATTCACAAATCATCTCTGCCCTAGACCACTCATCAATTGTCAAAGAATGGTGATAATTTGTATCATTGAAAGCCAAAGTAGCAAAAGCACGATGATAGTAAAGTGCACTTTCAAGCATTGAATGAGTTGAATTCCATCTAGTAGGAACATCCAACCTTAAACCCATAGAACACCTAACACCAACCTGTTCAATGCACTTCTTGAAATTGATTGCCCTCGCCTCTGATGCCTTTACATATCTAATGCTATTCCTAATCTTTTGGATAGCACTACTTGCTACTTTCAATCCCTCTTGAACTATGAGATTTAAAATATGGGCACAACATCTCACATGAAAAAACTCACCATTACATATCAGGCTATTACTCAAATTCATCCTCTCTTTCAAAATGTTTTTCATACTGTCATTTGCTGAAGCACTATCAACAATAATAGAAAACACTTTCTTCTCAATCCCTAATCTACTAATAGTTCATACACCTTTTTAGCCAATTCAACTCCAATGTGTGGTGGTTCCAAGTGTGTGAATGCAAGTATTTTGCTATTGAGATTCCATTTCTCATCAACAAAGTGAGCAATCAAGCAAAGATATCCCTCAGTAGTTATTGAAGTCCAACAATCAGTGGTTAAACATACTCTACTTTGACTTTTTACAATTGTCATTTTTAAAATTTCCTTTTGCTTAAGATACAGATTCCAAACATCAACCACAACAGTTTTTCTAGTAAAATACCTAGCCTCAGGATTCAAAAATTGATGTGTTTCCCTAACTACTTGTATTCATAATAGGAATATGGCAAAGCATGCACAATGATAGACTTAGCAAGCAATTCCTGGAATTTGTTATTATCAAGATGTCTAGCTCTCATTTTCCTAGCTTGGTCTAACATCATACTACCAATGTCATGGTATTTAGGGACTAAATGACATGAATCCACATGATGCCAAAGGATGGAAGTGCCATAATTCTTACCCCCAACAATAAAAGCCTTTCCACAGCCTTTACATGTAGCCTTTTCTTACCCATCTACTTTGCCAATTTTAGTAAAATACCTCCACACTTCAGATGTACATTTTTTTTAGCTTTCTTTCCAATTCCATTGTCATGCACAGAAGAGTTAGCTTCAGACCTTTTGTCTCCATCAACAACAACATTGGTCATCAGGCATAGGCACACTAGGACTAGCAGATGACATCTTATATACAAAACCAATAGTCCAGTACATTATACAACCACCAGCAACAACAAGTTCAATACGTTATACAGCCAATATTCAATGTATTTCACATTTGAGATTTCACAACAATAAATAATATATCAATTTACCAAAAATCCAAAGTAAACCGTGACCGTGAAGAAGAGACAAAATTAGAACAAGTTCGTATTTCATATTTAGACTCCAACATAGGCAACACTCACGTCTGGAGTCTCAAGCTCAACCAGTCCAAACTCCAGAGTCTATAGATAGAGAGGGAGACGAAGACAGAGAAGGAACTATGAAGAGACAAAGTACGGTATACCTGATGATTGACAGACTCACGACTTGCCAGCGCTCAGGTCCCGCGTGTCGGTGTGTGTAGTGCATCAATAAGACTTGCGACTTGTCAGTGTTCAAGACTTCAAGTCAACTAGGGTAGGTAGATTCAAGTAGGGGCAACGCGGTGAGCCTGTGACGAGCTTTGAAATCTGAATGGTGGCGACGCAGTGACAAGCTCTGAAGTATGAAATCTGAATAGGGGCAACCGACTCTAGAGTCTGGACCTCTGGTTATGGAATGTGGAAGACTGGAAAATGAACTAGGGCAAAGGTGTAAAGTAGAGACAGAGAACAAAGAGCTTGGGGCTTGGGACTTGGGCTTGGGACTGGTCAAGGGTGACTGGGAGACTGGGTCTGGGAGAGTGGGACTGGGAGTGTTCAGTGTTGTGTGGGAGTCTAGGAGGAGTGTGACGCCAACACGTAAGCAAAATGTAAAAATGGGATCGTGTTGCGGGCTTGCGGTGTTGGTGTTGCCGTGTTGGACTGAGACATGGATTACTCAAGGGCTTAGTGTGGAGTGTGGACTGGGCTAAGACTGATAGTGTAGAGACCGAGCGGCAAAAGGAAAAATTTGCAAAAAAAAAAAAAGGTTAAACGGGCTGGCCAGCCAACCCTGCGGGTTAGCCTACTGCGGGTTTAGGCTTGGTAGTTATGGGCTCAAAACTTCCATTTTAAAATGGTCCTAATTTTTATCAACCTAACCACCACTTGTTGACGGGTCAGTGGGTTTAGCCCATGAGCTCAATCCATATCACTGGCTCTACTTCTATCAAAGCCTGTCGTGTTTGAGATACTATTGGATGGGAATTTAAGACTAGCCTGCACGTCAACTCATCTAGTAGTTTTATAATGTTAAATGTGTTAGGCCTTGTTTGGTTACGTGAGGTGTTTTTGGGCCTTAGAGCATTTGGTTAGCAAGCATATGAGCTCAGGAGACCTGTTTCCAACAACTGAGCCCATTACCAGGAGGACGTATGGCCTAATATTTCTTATGTTCATTAAATCACCTGAAGAAAGTAGTTGGGTTTGCAACCTAGTGGCACCAGTAGCTCCTATAGGAGTAACGTCATGAGGTTGAGAATTAGGTACTGGGATGGGAGAGTAACGCCATGTGCTGGAAATGGAAAGGGAATGAGATAAGCAACGACATATGGAAGAAATGGTGGCCTATGTACCCCACCTATCTGCAGGGTTTGTAACCAAAGTCCCTTCGAAAAAGCCATAGAAGGTAGTGATGGATAGGTTGAGCTCGTATGGGAGCCAACAGGGTTAGAAGCAATAGTTGCAGTTGGCATATTTCGTCTAGGTATTAAAGATGAGAAACAATCTATGTTTGTTGATAGAGTAGCTAGGTTGGAGGACATTGAAGAAGCTGAAGCTAATCTAGAAGTACTAGGAGTTCCTGAGGCTTTAGGCATTATGTGATGTGTAGTGCAAATAGTTAGCATTTAACCATACAAACGTTGCAAATATACAGCCTATTTTGAGGGACGAAAAGTTACCTATAGATGTGATAAGTTAGTTTGTAAATTTGGAAGATGTTTGTAACAGTTTTTGGCTAATTTGACTTACGGGTCAAAGTTGTCTTTTTAAGTATGATTGTGAAAGCACTTAAAACTTACTTATGATTTATGCAAAAACAGCTTTTTGAAATTAAAAGACATTTTTTCCCTTATATTTATGTTGTTCTTATGCTTTTCTCCACTTATAATTATTTTTATTATTTAATAAAAGTCATACTTATTTTTATCATTCTACAAACTAAACTTACTTATTCAATCCTAATTCAAACAACTTTTTTACTTTACAAACTAACTTTTATAAAAGTTAATCCAAACACAAATCATATTACCCAATTTAACTTTTATCCAATCTTTTTTTTTAAAATCATATTGGAAATAAGTTATTTTTTTTATTAGTAATCCAAACGGACTCATAGAAGTGTGAGCAGAAGCAGAATGTGGAATGCCGAATGTAGATGATGCTTTACTAACATCCTGTTCAACAAAATGAGGCTTATTCTCTAGTAGACAGATAGAACTATTAGCATAGAGTTAATTATTATTTATTTGATACCAGAGTTAATTATTATTTATTTGATACCAGAGTTCATTATTAAATATTCACGATCTTGTGCCCGATTTGCATGAGCTGCTATATTACAAATGATATGCTTGGTCCCCATCATCACATTTCCTCTTCCTCCCTCTATCTCTGTTTCTCCCTCTTCCTCTTGTTCTTCCCCTTTCTTATCACCTTATTTCTCTCCTCCCTTCTTTTATCCCCTTTTCTAAATTTTTCTCTATTTCTTGCCCTTCCCCTGCTAGTTCTATAATAGAAAAGTTTCAAATAGAACTTGCCAGATAAAACACAAAGAGATCCCAAACAGAAAAGAGTAAGGAAGCTTAGGGTCTAGAAGTCTAACACCAACTATATGGTGTCAATGTCACATAGGAGCAGTTGTCCTCAAATCCAGTTAAATATTTCACTAAATAAGGCTTCATCTCAAACAAACTTTTCTAATCTCAAGAACTCAGAAGTCATGCATGTTATTTGGATATTACACTAGGAAAGATATAACTTTACGCTGAACTAGTTAGTTCTCATGCTAATCAAAGCCTCTATCTTAACACTTAAAATGGAATCCCTAGCATTCATGAGGTTATGTATAGGTTTTAAATTCAAATCTCAGAATAAAAAAAATTTAGTTCCCACCCATTTTTGTGGAAACCCATGTTGCAGCACAAGTAGGCAAATGTAAAAGATAAGTTTGCCCCTCCAAACACACACTCTTACTCTACTTTTAGAGTCAGAAAAACGGGCTGAACCTATTTAAACCCGTTTAAGTTGAGGGTTGGGCTTGTAATTTAGGGTCTTCCAAAAATACTTGGACTTAAAAGGGCTAGTCCTATGGGGCTGAAAAATAAAAAGGTCGACCCTGTAGGGCCACAAGCCGACCCGTTTAAACCCGCCAATAGTAATTTTTTTTCTTAATATATATTTTTTTCTTGATCCTAACCTAAGTCCCTAACATTTTACACACTCTCCCTTTCTAGGTTTTACTTTCAGTCTTTTACTTACCTCAGCTCACATCTTAGTCTCTAATGATATTAAAATAAATAAAAATATCTTCTCCATATCCTAAATCAGATTTCAAATTTGTATTTATTTGAACCAACAGTTATATATTAAAATAACAAAAATACATTCCCCTTATTAAAACAAAAATTTTAATGATTGAACCAACAGATACGTATCAATTTGTATATATTTATAAAACACATTTTCTATAGTGACTATATCAAAATTTTTACTCTATATTTAAATAGAGTTAGACAAGCAAACTAGACAAAACCAAAGAAAACCATCCTGAACAAAAGCAAAAAAGAGGATGACATAGTTAGCTCATTAAGAGCATACTATGGATCAATCCAAAGTGCTGAGATATTTCAAACTTCCAATGAGATTGTGCAGCAAAGTGATTTTCACAATTGAAGCCTGAGAAAATAAATACTACCTCTGGTCCTAATTATAAAACCTTATTTATAGACTACAAATGAGGTCTTATAACTAGGACTGGAGGTAGTAAGTAGACAACACAGAATCAATCCCCAGTAATTACTAAGTTGAAACCTCCAAAACAAACTTAACATTAATGCTTTTAAATAAACTTAATGGTGGGCAAAAAATCCAATTCAAAAGACAGAAGAAAATATATTATACTCCAGAATAGCTAAATAGTATTGAAAAGAAATCATTGATATTTTTAGAAGAGCCTATTACTAGTGAAGCACAATCAAATATCTTTACAATTGATGATAGTGATGATAGTATTTGTCCACTTTTTTTTTTTTTTACTGAAAGCATTTGTCTACTTTTAATGAAACTTTTAGATGTTAACGTTATTGACTTGTTATGTCTAATAGATGTTTTAGATTTTTTATGTTGATGGACATTTAGATATGATGATCTTTCATATTTGTGATTTAATTCATATTTATGTTTTTGCTAGTAATTTCTTTGGTGTATTTTTATTTTTTGATAAAACATGTAAGAAATATAAAAAATAGAATTTTTTTTAAATGGGGCCAGCTTTGGGCCCGTTTACTTAAGGGTCGGGCCTAGCAAATTGAGACATTTTTTAAGTTTTAGCCCTGTAGGGTCAGCCCTTTTAAGCCCGCCAGCCATGCAGGGTCGAGCTGGCCCTTTTTTCCAGCTCTATCTGCCTTCTCCTTGTGCTCCTACTTCTTCTTCTCTCCTCATATTTCTTTTTTTCCATATCCTTTTCCTTTTTCATCTTCATATCCATCACTTCTTACCCTCTTTTTGACCAACAAAACGTTTTCATTCATTAAAAACAAAAAAGAAAAATTATGCCGTAAAGATTGGCCAATGTCAATAGATGAACAAAATATTTCTTTAATTAAAAACCCCAAAAAAAAAAAAAAGAAAAAAGCTTCGAGTGGGTGATAAGGAAAAGCATTCTACAACTGCTTCAAAAGGCAAACATTTGCACCCAGAAAGCACATCAGCATAAGTGGAAAAATATCACCCATGCTTGACCCATAAGCCCTTTAATTCAATCACCAAATTTAAAACTTGCCTAGCATTCATGGCACATATGT